ACTATAGAGGGTGGCCAATATTTCGCAACAGAAGCCATTCCACCAAAAGATGACTGATGACGAAGAAGAGAAACCAGGACTTATGGACGCCCACGAGTGGGCTGTACTTCCAACGGACCAATATAATGACTTCAGTAAGGCGTTTGATTCTGTCCACCATGACATTTTACTTTTTAAGCTTGACCGAGTAGGTTCTTTTTTATAATTTGGTAAACTTGAAGCGTAAGTCTTCAAATAAGTTGTTTCCCCTGTTCAACATGGATTCGTAAAGAATTGGTCAACTACGACCAATCGGCTTGAGTTAACTTCTTTGGTAAATGATGCTTTCCTTTCGAAAATGCAAACTAATGTCATTTACACTGACTTCAGTAAGGCGTTTGACTCTGTGCACCATGATTAATTCTTATTTAAAAGGTAGCACCCAAAGACTATTTGTACTACACCTTTATTCGTACTACACCTCATCTTGTCAGTTATACAATGCTGAGGCAGACTACCTTAAAGCAGGTTCAAGTTAATTCTGGTGTCCTCAAGGTAGTCATCTTGGTCTTTTACTCTTTATTGTTTTTATAAATGATATCCACTCGGTTATATCACATATCATGGTACTTATGTATGCAGATAATGTGAAACTTATTCTATCATACACTAATCCCCTACATCATTCTCGTCTACAAGACGATTTGAACAACTTTGGTGTTCGGATAATCAATTGCATCTCAATTGTTCAAAGTGCATGTTTATGACCTTTATTCGTACTACACCTCATCTTGTCAGTTATACAATCGAGAATACCTTATTGCAACGTATTCTAATAGTTGTGGATCTAGGCGCTCTTTTTGATTCTAATCTCTGTTTCAATCTTCACATAGATACCATCGTTAATGAGGCAAAAGGTGTACTTGGATTCATTAAACGATGGTAAAGAGAGAGAATCGTTAGATCCATTTATAACGAAAATTCTGTACATCTCTCTTGTTCGCCCTATCCTTGAATACTGCTCTTGCATCTGGTATCCGCAGTATAACAATAGCCAAGATCGTTTGAATCTGTTCAGAAGCAATTTCTGCTTTTTGGCTTACGTGGTTTAAATTGGGACCCTAATCTTCGGTTGCCATCCTACTCCAGCAGACTACTTCTTAATCTTCCGTCGTTAACCAACTGTAGGGCAATTCTCGGTGTTGTCTTCCTACAAAAGTTGATTGTTGGCGATATAGATTCTCCTTTACTGTTAGGGCGTCTTCAATTCTCTGTTCCTTACAGACCAACCAGAAATTATCTCCCCTTATTCCTATCTACGTGCACAACATAATATGTCATGCACAATTCCCTCCACGTGCTGTTTGAAATTACTATAAATTACAATAGTTTAGATTACGTTTTCTCTACCGAAGTTTCTCTTCCGCAAATGAACTCGTTGCTTTCAGGATACCTTCGGGAAGTCATTGTGACCATTCCCAGCTATGAGCACGGGCATAGCTTGCCTGACAGGGTATACATTTTTTCTCACCGGCTCCGTGATTTACCATTACTATCGCTCTATCCTATCTACATAACATTCTATATATCATGTTTAATACCTTTACTTTATTAATAATTTCCCTTTTTCTTTTTCCCTATTTATTGTATATTCTTAATTAATATAGTAAATTAAGATTATTTTTAATTTTAGCTAAAGAACACTATTTTCTCTACTAACACCTTTCTTCTTAGCTGTAGGCTCTAATAGCGTCACTGACAAAATTAGCTGTGAATAGGAGCACAGCTGGCAGGACTGGCGAATAAAACACCTCCATCGGTTGGTGATGCTATTAGAAAATTTTGTACTCTAACTAGGCTTTTAGCATTAAATTTTAATATATATGTATATAATATTGAATAATTAGGAAGACACTCGTTTTGTCGATTATTAATAAACAAATAAATAAAATAACAATATTCAATCAAGGTCAACAAAATGTGAAGATCGATATGAATATATCAAATTTGTCAATTATGCTGGAAAAATAAATATGGCTTCCTTTTGATTAGCAAGGATGGCCCAATAGACAATGAAAGATATATAATAGATACATTAATTATAATTTAAATAATTAACTAAAATAAGATTATTGAACATATCACTTTTATGAGGTCTTTCTGTAATCGCAGCACGTTTAGTGCGCGATTACGAAAATCTGGCTCATCTCATATGTAAGTGTAATGATTGAGGCTATGTCTGACATAGTTGTAGTATACTTTGTGCCTATCAAATGTTTTTAGTATAGCCAATGCTTTCAAAATACATTTTACATTATTAAAAATGCGTTTATATACATACAAATTATTGTTACTCTTTAATCTTCGTTATATATATATCGGTTCACAGAAATTCCTTTACAATTAGGCATAGTGGCACCACAGCAAGTCGTTGTAGTCACAAAAAAATAATAAAATGTGCCCTATTACAGGACACTACACTTGCTCTTGTCATTTTACATTCTTCTCTGACTTTAAGTACTGTTAGTGAGCACTTATCAGTAAATACCACACTGAACGCTACACAACACACTCGAGCCATGCTCGATAGAGACTAATTTATTTGTCTCACACCATGCTTTCAGTAGCAACCCTAATACAAATAGGATAGTATTCTATGTTTTACATTCCAAAAAATAGTCACAATAATTGTTTGATATACGACACGTCCTTCCTGACATTTCACACAACCTCGTGTGTTCTTTTCGCTTGGATCATTCCATACTCAAAATTATTGGGTAATATTTATTAGTCATTTATTTACTTTAAATTTCACTTCTCATACGGCAGTATCATCGGTCAATGTAGATTTTGTTTTCTTTCATTCTTTATACCCTTGTAGAGGGTATTATGATTTTGTCGTGAAATGTGTAACGCACAGAAGTATATATATTCTTGATCAGCATCAACAGCCGAGTCGATATAGCCATGTCCGTCTGTCCGTCTGTCCGTCTGACCGTCTGTCCGTCTGTCTGTTTCTATGCGAACTAGTCCCTCAGTTTTAAAGCTATCTTAATGAAACTTTGCAGATCTTCTCGCAGCACATACGTCAAAACCTGCTGGATCGAACCACTGTATCATATAGCTGCCATAGGAACGATCGGTCGAAAATTAAGTTATTGTATGGAAAAATTTTTTGTTTTTCACGATATATTGACCCGATATATATTGACTCGGCATTTATTAGTTTAACTATGCCCCTTATATATACAAAATCCTATCATCATCGGACCACTATATCATATAGATGACATAAGAGCGATCGGTCGAAAACCAGGTTTTTGATTAAAAACCTTTTTTGGTTATCAAGATATCTTGACCGAAATCGGCATTTACTATTTTCCCAGTACTTTTTAGATAGGGGCAAAGCACTATGAGCATTATGTAAAGGTTGGTCTGCAAGGGTATTAGATCTTAGGCGTGCCGAAGATAACCTTTCTTTCTCGTTCTTCTTTATTAAGGTGGTCCATGCTTATCTCTACCTTACTGTTTTGCTCCCCTTCATTCTTTTTTCTGAAACTGTGTATGAACAAATTTTTTATTTTTCACGATATCTTGACCAAACTCGGCATTTATTAGTTTTACTTTACTACTCATATATATGCAAAATCCTATTAAGATCGGACCACTATATCATACAGCTGCCATAGGAACGATCGGTCGAAAATTAAGTTTTTGCATGGGAAAACATTTTTGTTTTTGCGATATCTTGACCAAACTCGGCATTTATTAATTTAACTGTGCTTCTTAGATACGGGCAAAGCACAATAAGGATTATGAAAAGGTTGGGTCTGCAAGGGTATTAGATCTTCGGCGTGCCGAAGATAGTCCTTTCTCGTTTTGTGTTGTTGTTCTGTCATCACACATCTATAGGCTGTGGCTGCCCAGCAACGATAACATGGAGCGGATACAGGTGCTTCACCACGCCATGATCGAGCACTTGTGGAAGGGTCGACTATTGTGGTGGCGTCTAGGTTATAATGTATGAGTTTTTTTCCACCCTAAATGCATTAATGCCTCATAGACATTATTAATGACTGACCATCTGAAGGCTGTGGGTATTACAGGCAGACACTATGTGCTTCCATTTCTTTAAATCTTTCGTACGTCGCTGAGATAGCTACTCCCATATCTTGGTTCTGCAATTTCAAGATTATGGTAGCAATGTCAGAATCTCGTTGCTGTTCGGCTAGAAGCCAATCGTCAGTTATATCAGCTAGGTTTATGCACATTTATACCGTTTTCGCTGAGGATTTATAGTCAATGGGCAATGAATTGCGCGAGAAGAAATCAGCATGCAACATGCGTTCTCCCTTTCTGTATTCAATACTGAAATCGAATGATTAAATATATGCCCACTATCGATGTACCCTTGGAGTAATGCCAATTTTTTTGATACTTACTTTCAGAAATTTGCAATCTGAATGCACAATACATTTTAGACCATGTAAATTAAGGCGAAAGTGTTTTACTGCGGTATAAACCGCGAGGATTGCAAGCTCGTACGATTGACATTTTGCTTAAGTAACTCTGAGTCCATTTTTTATTTTATGCATTAAAATGGCACCATGTCCAATAGAACTTTGGTCCGTGTGTAGTTCAATTGGCTTCGGTCGAAAATAAAGTTATTGTATGAAAAAACATTTTGTTTTTCAAGATATCTTGACGAAACTCGACATTTATTAGTTTTACTATACTCCTCATATGTAGGCAAAATCCTATTAGGATCGGACCACTATATCATATAGCGGCCAAAGGAACTATCGGTCGATAATCATTTATCAAGCAATTTTGATTAAAACCCTTATTTGTTTATCGAAATATCTTGACCAAACTCGGCATTTACTATTTTCCTGGTTCTTCTTAGATACGGGAAAAGGACTATGAGCATTATGATAAGGTTGGGTATGCAAGGGTATTAGATCTTCGTCGAGCCGACGATAGCCCTTCTTTCTCGTTCTAAGTATTTTTTGCTTATGGCAATGGCTAGAGTAATAGTAAAAATTTTATTGTGATTTGCTATTTTCTTTTGGGTTAGGTTCAAGCTGTAATGGTCTTTTTATATAACATGGCTGAACATTTTGTAATTTGGTAAATCTGAAGTAGGTTTCGTCCTTGTGTCTGACTCGCTTATAATTTTTTATTGGTCCTTCTCGTTGTTCTTCGGTGAGCATTTAATTTCAATTATTTTAGAATGTAATCTTTCAATACCTGCTTAACCTGTATGTGAGTTGGGTTTTGTAAAATGTTCTTCTACCTGTTCTGATTCAAAAAAATTTTATTTTTTGTTTTGATCTGAATTCATTGTCCATAATTATCTATTTAGGTTTGTTAAATTTTGTAAAATGTTCAATTATAATTTGACTTTCTCCCTTAAATATTTTTCCAGATAGTCGTATCGATCCTCGATACTGTATATGCAGTATATTAATAGAAATGTTAATGAATCATTTTGTTTCTGCTTTCTTACAGGATTTAATAAAAGAATTTTTAAACAATCCCTTCAAGCCGCGATTAATATTTAGCGTAAATTCGTCGGGACAACTCTACCCCACATTTAATTTCCCTGTGAAGATATATGCAAAAGTGGCCTATTTTATTCGCATCCTTACACCCTTGGAGCTTACTGACGATAACATGTTACAGGTTTGTTTTGAATTCAAATCGTTCTAGTTCCTATAACCATAATTTTCGTAAAGTCTCTTATGATAGGTGATTTACTGCCTAATGCACTTGCAAATCTATCTGTACTGTGCGATGATGTCTTCTTTCCGTTGCTGAACAACACTGTTAATCAAGAAGGATGGACACGAGTAATTGTAAATGATATGAAAACTGAGTCTCAAGAGATGCGAAATGGTATAGCTCAAATGAAAGGACTAGTGATAAACCGCACAATATTTCCTTTGCCTATTTGCATCGATGAAGTCATGAAGGAGGCACCCCATATTGCTGCAATGTGCGTATTATACATATCTGCTATACTTAGACATTCTAGGCCTTCAATAATTAATTTACCCATTTTAAGTATTTATGTCAAATTTTTACTATATACCTATTCCCTATTATGCGAAAGGTTTGTGTGTTCACATGCTAAATGTGTGCAGCGTCGTGACAATTGTTTTTGACTGCTCCTCGCCCTTAGGCATTGACCCCTGCAAAATATTGCGCTTTGGCTTAATTTTCCTCACGATAAATTTAAGATTAAATATTTGCCTTTTTTAAGCATGACGTGTTTTCTCTCAGCGCGGTATGACTTTATAGATTGCATGCTAGGCATTTCCTTGCTTCCAATCAATTCCATTTCTAATCATTTTTTTTGATCATTTTTAAATGTCTTGGGTGATATGAATACTGCTCTTAATTTTTCTTATAACACCCTAAATTCCCTCTTTGATAAGAGTACTTCCAATTTAATTCCTTCGACTACTTCATCAAAACCACCCTGGTTTACTCCCAGATTATCAAATCTAAAAAATTTTAAATTCAAATATTTTAAAAAGTTTAATAAGTCTGGTTCGTAATCCTTTCATTTCGTGCTCATCAGCCAATAAGCCCCGATGTTGCTTTCGCAAGGAAAATTATTCGTTGCTGAATCAGCTTATTTATGCAACCGACGGGTCTTTCTTATATGATATATATCACCCTAATCTCCCTCTTACATGTGTGTATTCCTAAGTCAAATTCCTTCGACTACATTTTCAAAACCCCCCATCTAAAAAATGTAAAATCTTAAAATTTTAAAAAGTTTAAAAAGTCTGGTTCGTGTACAGACTTGGCTAAATATTCCATAGCCAAGTCGAACTTGTTTCTTCATAAATCGCAATGCTATGAGAATTATCTAACTCGTTGTAAAAGGCAATTTGCCGACACAGTTTTATTATTTTGTAAACTTGAAGCGTAAATCTTCAAGTTTGCCATCTTCTTTTTTTTCCAATCAATTTACTCTTCAGTCAGTCCTAATATTTATTCTTACCCTTATACTATTTCTTCCGCTAGTTCTATACCTCCTCCCATTATTTCACACTCCTCTCTCCTATTAGCTATAAACTCTTTAAAATCTTATTCTCCTGGGCCGGACAATATTCCTGATTGTCTACTCAAGGAACGTAGCTCTTCTCTTCTTTATCCATTGCATAAGCTTTTTAATCTATCCCTTGAATCTTCTGTCTTTCTATCTCTTTGGAAAGAATCTTATAAAATTCCTCTCCACAAGAAAGGTAGAAAGTCTGATATACAAAATTAAGGGCATTGCAAAACTGTCCACTATTCCAAACTTATTTAAAAAAATAATCAATTCGGATCAGTTCAACATTGATTCGTATAGAATCGGTCAGCTACGACCAATCTGCTTGAGTTTATTTCCCTGGCAAATGATGCTTCCCTTTCGAAAATGCAAACTGATCTCATTTACACTATAAGGCGTTTGACTTTGTGCACCATGACATTAAACTTTTAAAACATGACCGAAAAGGTTTCCCTCCGTCTCTTGCTTAAGATTAATTCTCATTTAAAAGGTAGGACCCAAAGACTAATGCTGAGGTTGACTACCTCTAAGCAGGATCACGTTACTTCTGGTGTTCCTCAAGGTTGTCATCTTGGACCTTTACCTTTATTCTTTTAATAAATGTTAAATCACATTCCCGTGTACTATGCAATTTTGGTGTTCGGCCAATCAATTGCATCTAAATTGTTCAAAGTGTATGTTTATGACTTTTAATCGTACTACACCTTATCTTGTCAGTTATACAATCGACAATATCCCTTTGCGACGTATACTAACAGTTAAGGATCTAGGCGTAATGTTTGATTCTAAACTCTGTTTCAATCTTCACATAGATACCATCGTTATGAGGCAAAAGGTGTACTTGGATTCATTAAACGATGGTCTAAAGAGTTTACCGATCCTTTCATAACGAAACTTCTGTACATCTCTCTTGTTCGCCCTATCCTTGAATACTGCTCTTGCATCTGGTATCCGCAGTATAACAATATCCAGGATCGTATTGAATCTGTTCAGAAGCAATTTCTGCTTTTTGCATTAAGAGGTTTAAATTGGAACCCTAGTCTTCGGTTGCCATCCTACTCCAGCAGGCTGCTTCTCCTTAACCTTCCGTCGTTACCCAACCGTAGGACAATTCTCAGTGTTGTCCTTCTACATACGTTGATTATTGGCGAAGAAATTATCGCCCATATTCTTATCAACGTGCACAGCAGACTACGCTATGCACAATTCTTTTCGCGTGCTATTTTAAATTACTATCAAATACAATAGTTTGCATTACGTCTTACGCGTACTCGTCAATGACTTTAATTAGTACCTGGATCCATTAAGTATTTTATTATCTCAAAAGGTCCCTTAAACCTGGGATCCAGCATCGATTGATTTTGCTCTTTCCTCTTGAGTAGGACATGATCACCAAGCTTATGTTGTACATCCTTTGCTTTGTTTCTGTTGAACCTAGCCTTATCAATTTTTCTTTCATCTACTATTGTTATCATTCCTAACGGTTTTGCATCTTCTGTGAAGAACAAAAGTCCCTAAGCCTGGAGCTCGCAAAACATATTCCCTGATCAGCTATGATGTGCCGGCACTCCGAATAGTGCAATGGTTTCTTTGACTGCCTTAATGCAGTTTTCCATATCAAGGTTCAGCATATGTTGCTACTTAATTTGCCGTCATGTCAATATGCACGGTGTGCCAGGGAATGCCATCTTAAGAAATCGGGTGCATTTCTATTTGTGGTTTGCCAGATGAAGGTTTTGACATTTAACAAGTAATGGAATTTTCTATAAAACTTTCTTACACATTAGACATTCTCAAACCAGTAGTTGGCATACTGCCATTTATTTGAATCTTTCGTACGTCGCTGAGATAGCTACTCCCATCTCTTGGATCTGCAATTTTAAGATTATGGTAGCAATGTCTGAATGTCGTTTCTGTTCGGCTAGAAGCCTATCGTTAGTTATCTCAGATGGGTTTATGTACATTTCAACCGCTTTCGCTGAGGATTTATAGTCAATGGGCAATGAATTGTGCGAGAAGAAATCAGCATGCAACATGCGTTCTCGCTTCCTGTATTCAATACTGAACTCGAATGATTAAATATGTGCTCACCATCGATGTACACTTGGGGTATTTGTTAGTGACTACCTTGTTGCTAATGTGTCCGTCCCCTCCTTTAGAGGTTGCAATGCTCAATTGTAATCATTTTATTTCGTGCTCATCTGCCAATAAGCCCCGCCGTTGCTTTCACAAAGGAAATTATTCATTGCTGAATCAGCTTATTTATGCAACCGATTGGTCTTTCTTATATAACTCGGTTGATATGAATGCTGCTATTAATTTTTTTTTATTCACCCTAAACTCCCTCCTATATATGTGTATTCCCAAGTCAATATCCTCGACTACTTCTTCTTAAAAAGTCTGGGTCGTGTACAGACTTGGCTAAATAGCCAAGTCGAATTTCTTTCTTCGGAATTCTCAATGCTATGAGAATTATCTAACTCGTTGCAATGGTTTCTTTGACTGCCTTAATGCAGTTTTCCATATCAAGGTTCAGCATATGTTGGAGGTGAACAAATTTTGTAAATGCATCAACTTGAACTATAATATACTATTTCAACTCATTTTTGCTACTTAATTTGCCGGTTATGTCAATATGCACGGTTTGCCAGGAAATGCCTTACACTCGTGCTCCGTACGCGCTTATCTTCTCTTAAACTTCTGCTCAGTTGCAAGCACAAAACGAAAGTGAACCTGCAAATTATGCAGCAGCGTGGTATCGACTTCCATATGTACAAACTAATTCTAACGGTGCTCTTCCAATGTAAGAAGCGAGCGCTGCTTACAGAGAAATGCGAGATCCACCCTGTAATTCACGAACGTCCGTGCATAGTGTTACCAACTTTAATGTCAAACTTAACTAGCTTGACGGCGGGGCGAGTAATAATTCCATCGGCTCGCACCACGGCGCTTCGGACCTGGCGATCTTTCGAACGGTGCACGTCGACTACCACTCCTTTTGTCCAACAATTTCGTTTCGCACCATCTTCCACTATTATGACGATGTCGTTGACTGATATTGGTTCGATTGGCGGTTGGAACCACTTTGTACGTCTTGTGAGTGCGGGCAGATACTCGCTCAACCATCTCTTCCAAACAGGATTGACTTCGTAAAACGCACCATTCGTTCCCACGTTCCTCCCATATGGGGTGATCCTGTTGGGATAAAGGTAAACTCCCAACAGGATCACAGCGACAATATAAGTTCAATTTCATCTTATAATATTCTGCTATCGCCTCTGAAATTTGTGCCTTTGTGACTTAAGTTGAGAGATACGTGGCTATATCTGGGTGAACACCCCAGCGCTTCTCACGAATCCGTCCAACAACAATGTCGTAGGGTACAAAGTTATCCACTCCAGTATATGTCAACGGTGGAGTATAGGGTGATAATCGTTCGATTGGCAGGTCGCTCATTTCTGGTAGCTTTGGGCATAAAGCAGGCGCGTCGTATACGAGCACGCTGGGCAAGCACTGGAGACTTTTCTCACCAAAGCTCGCAAGCTACAAACCCAGTACTGCTGACGCAGTTCATTTACGACGATTTCGTTGTGCAGGTGATGATATTTGCGGTGATAAAACTCAACAAGGAGATACGTCAATCGATGTCGTCTTTGCAGAATTATCGAGTCATTTACATAAGGAGAGGCTTTTGTGATCCGACTTTAAGGAGGTAATCTCACATTAAACTCCTCTTCTTGGCATATCCGAATAAAAATCACAACCATTTCTTTGCTGCGTGTAGGGAGCACCATCTTCTGCAGCTCTAATCGTCCGTCCAATTTGGTCATCTTAGTAACAATCAGTAGGAAATCTAGTACGCATAGCTGTACGGGTCTTATTTTCTCCAGCTTGCTGAAGCGCTGCAAATCTGGCAGGATACATTTCCAAGA